GACAGCTCTTGGGGTCGCCCAGGGGACACATGCTGGGTGAGCCCAATGGAAAATTCCATGAGCCTGTCTTGCGCATGTCAGCTTTAATTCTCTCTGCATTGGCAGCATTCAATCAAAATTTTCCTTGACACCCATGAGTGAAGGAACCCCTTAGCCAAGGTGGAAACCACAAAGTCCCTAAGAGGGAGGACCATGAAAATCCTAAACCAAGAAGAAATAGAGTGTAGGATGTTGGTTTGGGAAAGCCTACTTGAATAGCACATCACAGGAGGGTGGGCTATGGAATGACCAAATCAAGAAAGAAGTGTCTGGGACTCTGAGAGATGAAGAAAGACTATTGTGTAAAAGGTGAATAAACTGGACTGTAGGAAGAAGGGCACTATATAAACTGCTTTGGGCTGCAAACAAGATAGTTTTGGATAAACAAGAGGGAAGAGAAGGCTTTATATGTCAAGAGATGCACCATGCCATGACAATGATCCTCAGGTCACAGTATCTCATCATCTGCTGGTTTCATTTTGCAGCCATAGTTGACCATCTTGCTATTCTGCTATTTCTTAGGATTTTTTTCCCCTGGGCAAGAGGGATCACAGTGGGGTGACCAGAAACCTGATTACCAGAAACTGTTTTCTATGAAAGTTTTTCTGGCCTGGCTTTTCCTTAAAACAAACAAACAAACAAACAAAACAAAGCAAGAAAAAAGCATTTTATGACTTCAAGAACGCATTGACAATATTGACTCATCTGAGCTCCTTAGTGATCAATTTGCAAGTGGAATCAGTCGTTTTGTCATAAGCTCCAACATGGTTTATTTCCTCAGTGGAAAGAAATTAGCTGACTCATAAACAGCCCTCATCTAATTAATTAAGGAAATATACATTTTTCACAGAGACATTACTTGTAAAAATCAAAGGACATCTTCTATAATTTACATATGTAGCAACCTATTTCCAGAGCTCAGGGCCACAACCATTCTAAAACCCTCAGTCAGAGCGTTTCTTCTCCATTTTTGTGGAGTCCTGCTAATTTGATTCTTCTCTTATTGGGTCTTCACATCAGTGCAGCCCCAATGATTAAAATTGACTTTCTTCTGATTTCCACCACTGATTAGGATCTTGTTATAATTTTAAAACCTTAAAAATACAGTAAGTGTACGTCTTCATTGCAGAACTCACTAAAAAAAAGGTAACAACACAAGTTTTTTTCTCTTTTTTAGCCTATTTATCTCATGTGGCCTGGTCTAGTTATTTTTAACCAGGGTGCTGTGGTCACACAAGGTTGACACTGGGCATGTCTACACGAGACACTATTGTGTAGTGGTTACTGCACATTTTTTTTGTACTTGTATAAGCAAGTACTAAATAAATGTGCAGTAACCAGAGTTACTGCACAGTACTACTGGCAATTGTCTTTAAAGTGATGCTACTGCATAGTACCCTAATAATACTGAGCAGTAGCATATTAGCACTGCCTGTGCTGTGACATGCTAGTATTATCTGGCTACTGCACAGTCAGCATCTTGTGTAGACATGACTACTGCTAGGTGTGCAAACAGGTTTCACAAAACTAACCGAGTTTTAAAATAGGAATCCACACCATTAAAAACATTCTGACCTGTGGTGGTCTTTTTGTTTTTGCAACAGAATTGTTTTATTATCCTTCTGTAGTCAAAAACTGAGTGAACACTAAGAGCTGACTTTTCGAAGGGGCATCTCATGTCTAAAAAAGGTTGAAAACCACTGGCCTAATTCAACTGAGGCAGCCCCACAGTGACCCAGTCCAGGTGGCACAGCAGTAGAAGTCGCAGTCACTTGTATGAGATGACAACACTGATAGACCCTCTTCCATGACTGTATATAGACATACTCCATGATTTTTCCCCTAGGAACTTATAAAAGAACCTCTTTTGTGGGCACAGAAGAAGAAAGCAGAAGGAATTGTGGGAAGACACTGGAAAAGTAGTGGCTCTATAGTGGAGCTAGTCTGTATCTGTATTAAAGTGGACATTTTGGCAGCTAGTGAGTTGAGATACTTGGGCTTTAAGCCTTGTTTCTTCCTGATGGGCCATCCAATAGCTGAGTTAAGGTGGAGTTTGTGTGTCTGGCTACAGGAACAAGTTATAAGCTATAGCCTATACCCAGCTGTTAGCAGCAATGAAAGTAGACCCTAGATACTTCTATGCCAAAGTTTAGCCCAGCTGATCTGTTAACAAGGCCACTGGGACAGTTCCAATCTTGTTTAATAAATGGTAGCAGTTAACTAGCCACTCTTTTACAACACATACAACAGAGCTGAGGTTATAGTCAAATGACATAGTTTAAATATGTAATAAACACAAAATGCCTAACTAGAAACTGCATTTAACCGTGGTTGCCATGTTAATACTCTGTATTTAATAAACAAATTTCTTGCTATTTTGTTGCAATTTTACAAAGCAACAGTTTCCTGTCTATTTAAAATTACCTTCTCTTAAGTGTACTATTCTATAAATCAGCAGCCAGTGGGTCCTTTGGGTGCACTTTGGACAAATGAATTCACCACCTGGAAACAGAAACACGTGTTTTTAACAGTGAAAAAATAGGAGAGCAAGCATTCCTCTGCTCTGTGAAAAGATTCAGGGTAACAAATGACCATGCACTAGGCTCTGTGGGATCTTGGAAGTCAAACATGTGGATTTATATCTAAGCAGATACACATACAAAGAGGAAGCACTCTGCTCATTATTGGAGACATAGAATGCTAATATCAAAAAGAGGTAAAAAACTTAGAATAGAGAAATCTATTGAGTACCAGGGCAAAAAAATTAAAGAATACTGCAGAATCAGGCATACCTGGCAGCATCTCCGGTGCTGCCATCATACCTTACTGAATACCACAGTCTGCCAAGAAGCCATATGCTGTTATTTGAAAAAAATCACCTTCTGGAACTGTGATTCAGAAATGAAAGGAGAGCTAAGGAAGCAGCAAAAATGACATTGTAGGTTAAGCATTGTTAAAGGAGTGGTTAAGAATTTGTATTATGATTTCATTCCTACATAGATAGATGCTCAGACTTTTGCTCAGGCAATTATGTATCTGTTGAAATTATAAAAATGCAACTTTAAATCTTAGAGCATTCAATAATCTAAAGGAGAAAAATTAACAAATATTAAAGAGATTTCATATAAATATTTTTGAGAAAGATCATTCAAAAATGTGAAATACTAAAAGAACTCCATAATGTAGGAAAGAAATGCTTACTTATCAAGACCACTCTCCAGAGAAAATTAAATTTTGAAATCAAGCAGACTACACCAGAAATGATTAACCAACATAACTAACCACCAGAGAACTATTGCATTTTCTATCTCCATCTCTAAAGAGATGATGCTTTTCTCGAAGATATGTTTTAGTAATACAGAAATTATTGGGTTCAGTACAGGATAATATTGTGAAATTATCTGCCTGCATTATACAGGAAGTCAGATTACATGATCTAATGGTTCTATTTCTCATTAAAATCTATTAATCTCTGAAAATGCCTTTTAATTTTTAATGTGATGACATCTTTACATAATACTTGATAAAATAACTGTTCACAAACTAAAGAAAATTATGTAAATTTGTATTAATCAAGTGGCAAGGATTTTTATATCTTCTAATGGACCAAATTTATTGAAGCAACTAATTTTAATCTTTATGCACATGTACAAGAGATTATTTCAAAAACACAATGTGCTTCCAAAAATCAAACTCTAAAACTCAATTTAACAGCCCCTTTCCCCCAAAATATCAATGAACCATTGATATTCTGTGTTAGACCCTGACTCCATGTGGCACCCAACAACCAGGGAGATGATGATCCAATCACTCATGAATCCTGTTACTCATTAGCCAGAGCAAGCAGGGAGCAAACACTACTTGCACATATTGCTCGCAACAGTTTTATTAAAAATGGAGATGGCTTCGAATTAGCTCCCTCACAGACACAGCCTGTGAACACAGGGAGCTACCTTGAACAATAGTTTTTTCCATGTTTTATACACTTTGGTTCATGCCCATTACCACTTATTCCACCCTGTCCCTCCTTCTGTTCCACCCATTTCTCCTCCTATCTCAAGCTCCACCTCTGTTTACTGTTTATTTCATTAACATGAAACTGCTTATGCATTTTACTAATTTACATGTCTTTTTGCTATGAGCTAATGTCCATGGCCATGAACTTACTTCTTCAGTCAATGGGCAGACTTTGACTAAAACCTAGAAGCTTTTTCACCAATCACCATGTACCCTTTTGCATATGTTCATCTTGGATTCTGTTACCAATTACATGTTATCTTTCACATTCCAATCTGTTTTTCTGTCCAATATTATACCATCTCCACATTCCTAAGGCTTCACCTCATTCACAGTACCCAGACTCACTTGAAAATAGTTGACATAGTTAAGATGGTTACTTAGCATGAGCAAATGGCTGGCTTATAAGCATTCATGAGCAAAATCTGCTTTCTTATATATTTTACAGCACTACTATATGGTTAAAACCCACTTGCCTAAGCATTGTTCAATGTTACTTTTAATATATCATTTTGCCTTGTGGTCAGCAGCTTTTGCTGGGCCCCAAATTTAAGCCTTTATTCAGCTGCAAATCCAGTGCTCCCCAAGATCCAAATATAGTCACCCTAACATTCTGAACAGAGATAATATGGTGATAAAAATTAAAGTGCCTAGTCTGTGCTGGTGCACTTTCTGGTACTGTTAGTGCTTCTTTTTAGTCGTTTCTCCAATCCAACCTTTCTATATGGTCTGTTCCCAATATTCTGCACAGGTCACTGCTTCTGGTGTTGGTATTGCCAGATCTTGTGGGGTGCATTATGGTGCTACAGGGCATCTCGGGAGATGATCCATGGTTTGCTTCTCCTGACAAACACACTGGTTGGTTGCATATAGACCCCATGATTTCATAAGAAAGATGCACCTTCCGTGAGCCACTCTCAATTTGTTCAGGCTTTGCCATGTATGCCATTTGAAGTTGTAGTAAAACAACAATGGGACCATTTGACAACAGCCTCAGTAGAGAAGATACCCTAAGGTTCAAGCTTCAACAGGCTGCTATCTTTTCTTCTGGCTGTGATTTCTCAATGAATACGCATTTTAAATAGGGCCAATGACCAACTTCACTGCTTGCCTAACAAAGTACGAGTCTTCCCCATCCATTTGGAATACTCACTTCATCACTAGTCATTTCACCTCTAAATCATCTGTTCAAATTATACAAACCACAACAAGCAATCTGCACAATACCACAAAGATATCTCATAATAAAGAGAATTTGCTTGCAAACCCATGCTTCTGAAAGATGCTTAAGGAGTTAAATAAGGAATCTCAGAAAACATTACAAATGTCTAACCCTATGGAAAAAAAAGCCAGCAAAATTACAAAATATGGCATATTCAGAGATGCACATTTCCTAGCTAGCCTTATAGCCTTTATTCACACAAGGCAGCCCACTGACAATTAAGAATGAGTATACAGTCATGAGAAAAATCTGGCACACTTTGTGCTATGGATCTTAACAGATGCGTTACCCTTCAATGGAAGATGACAGCATCAGGGAGACTTGGATACTCTGCTTTTCTTTGGAACACTAGCTCTTTAATGAGGGTGCCGCATTTGGCTATGATGGGTCTGCCAGGGCTACCTTTTTTGTAAAGCTCTGGGAGCACATAGAAAGTTCCTGAGGTGGGAGAGAGTCAATCATTTGTGGAAGTAGTTTTTTCCCTGAAGCTAGAGTAGGAAGGAGTTTATATTTTCCAGTTCCAGACTGAATACTAGTGTGGGGTCCTTACCAAGTTCTGTGTAGTATTCAGTGTCAGAGAGGTGCCTGTTAAACACATGGATGTTCTCTTGACAGTTGAAGATGGCTCTAGCTCCACCTTAGTTAGCTGGTTTGATTACTATTTCATTGTTACATCTTAGAGACTGTATGTTTTGTCTTGTTTTTTTTATCTGCCGGACACAAGATGTTGTGGTCCTGGCTTTGGTTGAGAATGTTACTAGTAGCTTCTTCCTGAAACACATGATGCAGTAGTCCAGTATATGGTTATATCCACCAGGAGGTGTCCAGTCCAATGTTTTATTGTTGTTTGCTTTATCAGTTATGACGGGAAACTTGTCAGAGGTGATTCTATCATAGTTTCATAGTTTCTAGGGTCAGAAGGGACCTGAGCAGATCATCAAGTCCCACCCCCTGCCATGGCAGGAAAGAGTACTGGGGTCAAATGACCCCAGCAAGGTGCTCATCTAAAGTCCTCTTAAAAACCCCCAGGGTAGGAGCCTGCACCACTTCTCTTGGAAGTTGGTTCCAGATCCTAGCCGCCCTGACCGTGAAGTAGCGCCTCCTGATATCTAACCTAAATCTACCCTCTGCCAGCTTGTGACCGTTATTCCTGGTCACTCCTGGCGGTGCTCGGGGGAACAGTGTCTCCCCCAATGCCTGCTGATCCCCCCTGACTAGTTTATAACAGGCCACAAGATCCCCCCTCAGCCTTCTCTTGTGGAGGCTGAACAGGTTCAGGTCCCGTAGCCTCTCCTCATAGGGCCTGCCCTGCTGTCCCCTGATCATGCGAGTGGCCCTCCTCTGGACCCTCTCCATGCTGTCCACATCCCTCTTGAAGTGTGGTGCCCAGAACTGGATGCAGTATTCCAACTGCGGCCTGACCAGTACCGCACAGAGGGGAAGGATCACCTCTTTGGACCTGCTCGAGATGCTTGTGTGGATGGATGACAAGGTGA